CTCATGTCCCTATATCATTCTTATTTTACATAACTTAGGACAAGTGTTCTGAATCGTAAAACTTTGATTTCGTCCCTCAAATTAACATAAAGTGTGACACAATTTTTCATTACCAAGTTGTTGTTCGTATCTTCTGTGTTCCCGCATTGTCCGACCTTAATAAATCATGTCAAATGCGCTTAAATACAAGTACGACTAAACATACTGAAAAGGTTATGCTCTTAAAATCAAATCATCAAATCTAAATATATGCTATATATATGATCAATTATATAATACTTAAGTTTTAGCTATAGTTAACTTCACTACTACTATAATTATATTTCTTTTCTTAGAACTCAAATAATAACAGTTTAATTGCTGAATGCTGATAGTTCTTATTGATTAATGTATATATGAATCACAATCGCCTACAAAAAAAGAGAAGGCTAAGTGGGAGTATCGAGATACAGAAAAAAAATGCGAAAGTAGGGAATATGACTCGCCACTAAAGAGAATGGATCATAGCATACTCATCCATAATCTATTATCTCGAGAAGATGCATTATTGGTTCCGTCTCTAATGGCAAAAAAGGATCGATTTTTCAATTTTATCGGTGAGATTTTTTTTTTTTAATAAGATGTTAATTTTATATATCAAAAGCTGGAAAATATTTTTTACAATCTGTTCGGAAAAGCAATAAGTTCAAAAAACCAAAAAAAAGAGAGAGTAAAAAAAGCCTAAGAGAAACCAAGTGGGTGATTAGATATCTAAACTATTTAGGCAACTATTCATAGGTGAATCAGAGAGAAAGCAAGTTTCAGAAAAATTTCCGAGGGATTCGAGCAAGTATAGAATCTCTAATGTTGCGATCCACTTGCTTGAAGATGGAGTTGTGGAGCCTATTATTTCTCTCCTTTCATATGTGAAAGATCACAGTCTGAGCAACAAATCTTTTAAGAATGAGAGTTGAAGGGCCAACTGAACTGGACAGCAAAGCAACAAGATTAGCCTAGGTAGCAAAGGTATGGTGAGGCATCCTAAATTTGGAGATAACTTTTCTCCATACCTGTTAGCTGAAATCGTATTGAAGGAATAAGCTGAAATTTTTTTGATTCATATTTTTACAAAACAACTCATGTCGAATAGAATTGTTGAATGTGATAAATTGAGGGTAAAAACA